GGCCATCATGGAAATGTGGTGGGATGACTCACACAACCGGAGTGCTGCAATGGGTGGCTATAAACTCTTCAGAAGGGATAAGGAAGGAAGAAGAGTCGGTAGGGTAGCCCTGTATGTTATGGAGTGTTTTGATTGTCTAGAGCTTGATGATGGCCATGATAGGATTAAGTGCTTATGGGTAAGAATCAGGGGGAAGGCCAACAAGGCAGATATCATGGTGGGAGTCTGTTATAGACCACCCAACCAGGGTCTTGCGGTATACTTCAACAAACCAGGTGTCTCCTGGAAATACAATACAGCAGAGAGGAAACAGTCCAGGAGGTTCCTGGGGTGTGGGGAAGATAACTTCCTGACACAGTTGGTGAGTGAGCCAACTAGGGAAGGAGCCCCACTGGACCTGTTGTTTGCAAACAGGAAAGGACTCATCAGTGATGTGTCGGTTGGAGGCCGTCTTCGGCAGAGCTATCACAAAATGGTAGAGTTTCCTATTCTCAGAGAAGTAAGGAGAGGGGTTAGCAGAACTGCCACCTTGGTCTTCCGGAGGGCAGACTTGGCCTGTTTAGGGGCCTGGTTGACAGAGTCCCTTGGGAGGCAGTCCTGAAGGGCAAAGGACTCCAGGAAGGCTGGACACTCTTCAAGGAGCAAGTCTTAAAGATGCAGGAGCAGGCTGGCCCTATGTGCCAAAAGTTGAGCCAGCGGGGAAGAAGACTGGCCTGGCTGAACAGGGAGCTTTGGCTGGAACTCAGGAAAAAAGGGAGAGTTTATGAACTTTGGGAGAAGGAGCAGGCAACTCAGGAGGACCACAAAGACGACGTGAGGCTACACAGGGAGAAAATTAGAAGGCCCAAAGCCAGACTAGAACTTAGCCTGGCTACTGTGGTAAAAGACAATAAAAAATGGTTCTATAGATACATTAACAACAAAAGGAGGGCAAAGGAGAATCTCGATCCTTTATCAGATGTGGAGGGAAACTTAGTGACAAAGGATGAGGAAAAAGCTAAGGTACTTAATGCCTTCTTTGCCTCAGTCTTAAGTAGTAAGACCAGTTGTTCTTGGGGCACCCAACACCCTGAGTCGGCAGACAGAGATGGGCAGCAGAACGAAGCCCCGATAATCCAAGGGGAACCAGAAGGAGGATCGCAGGAACTACAGGCCTTTCAGTCTGACCTCAGTGCCAGGGAAGGTTGTGGAGTAGATCATCTTGAGTGTCATCACACAGCACGTGCAGGACAACCAGGTGATCAGGCCCAGTTCAGCATGGTTTTATGAAAGGCAGGTCCTGCTTCACTAACCTGATCTCCTTCTGTGACAAGATGACATGTTTAGTGGATGAGGGAAAGGCTGTGGATGTTGCTTGCCTGGAGTTTATTAAAGCCTTTGACACTGTTTCCCACAGCATCCTCCTGGAGAAACTAGCCACTCTTGGCCTGGATGAAAGCACACTTTGCTGGGTAAAAAACTGTCTGGATGGCCAATCCCAGGAAGTTGTGGTGAATGGAGTTAAATCCAGCTGATGGCCAGTCATGAGTGGTGTTCCCCAGGTCTCAGTATTGGGGCCAATACGGTTTAATATCTTTATCAACGATCTGGATGAGGGGATTGAGTGCTCCCCTCAGTAAGTTTGCAGATGACACCAAGTTTTGCGGGAGTGTTGATCTGTTCGAGGGTAGGAAGTTTCTGCAGAGGGAGCTGGACAGGCTGGATCAATGGGCCGAGGCCAAGTGTATGAGGTTCAACAAGGCCAAGTGCCAGCTCCCGCACGTTGGTCACAACCACCCCATGCAATGCTACAGGCTTGGGGAGGAGTGGCTGGAAAGCTGCCTGGAGGAAAAGGACCTTGGGGTGTTGGTCAACACCCGGCTGAACATGAGCCAGCAGTGTGCCCAGGTGGCCAAGAAGGCCAACAGCATCCTGGCTTGTATCAGAAATAGTGTGGCCAGCAGGAGCAGGGAGGTGATCATGCCCCTCTACTGGGCACTGGTGAAGCCTAACCTCGAGTACTGTGTTCAGTTTTGGGCCCCTCACTGCAAGGAGGACTTTCAGGTGCTGGAGAGTGTGCAGAGAAGGACAATGAAGCTGGTGAAGGATCTGGAGAATAATTCTTATGAGGAGTGGCTGAGGGAACTGGTGATCTTTAGTCTGCAGAAGAGGATGCTGAGCGGTGACCTTACTGCTCTCTGCAACTACCTGAAAGGCGGTTTTAGCCAGGTGTTGTTGGTCTCTCCTCCCAAGTAGCAAGTCATAGAATGGGAAGAAAGCTAACTCCCAAGCTCAATTACTTGCTCTCAGCAACATCTTTTATTCTTTCCCCTCCTTTACCTTTTCTCACAAGTACAGCACAACACAAACCAGGAGAAGAACAACATGAGTGTCCACAGTCACAGCTCATTTATCACTCACGACAATCCTACTGGATCTGGCTGGGATGGAGTTCATTTTCTTCATTGTGTGCCCAAACCAGTGTTGGTAACACACCAGTGTTACGGCTACTGGGGAACTTGCACTGCCTCAAAGCCTGGGGAGCAGGCTGGGGGTGGGCAAGAGGCTGGGAGGGGACACGGCCAGGACTGTGGACCCCAACTGACTGAAGGGATAACCCATGCCATGTGATGCCACGCCCAGCAAGGAAGCTTGGGGTAGTGGTGGGGGAGTTTTGCCAAAGCAGCCATCACTCAGAGGCTAGCTAGGCATCAGTCGGCTGACAGGAGGCAGTGAGTGATTGCTTTTGCACCATTTGCTTTTCTTTTCTTCATTTACTAACCTGGCCTTACCTCCACCCCCCAGGTGCTCTCACTTCTGCCCTCTTGATTCTCTCCCCAACCCAGCTGGGTGGGGGCTTGGCTGCCAGCTGGGGTCAGCCACCACTCAACATGCAGCAGGCCACAGACCACAGGGCACTGGATGCCTGAGAAGAGTCACTCAAAGCGTTAACTCAAACTCCCAAAGATATTTAGACACTGTGTCCCTTTTGTTGGACCCTAAAAAGGATGATCTTATTATGAAGATGTGTACCAGTCTGGTGCGATTAACGTTTCATCCTTATGTCCAGGACAGCTTGGAACGTGATTTATGAGCAAGGTTTCCATGAGAATCAATGCCCCTACATTCTTCCCCATTTGAACTGGGCAGGGCATGGTCTTCAAAAGAAAGGAAAAAAAAAAAAAGGTAGGGTGTCAAAATACAAACACAAGCAATCAATGTCTTGGCACAAGTAATTTTCAAGTTTTATTTAGAGTATTTGTGCACCATATTATGCAAACCATTCACTGTTTTGTTTGTAACAAAGATCTGATCTATAAAGCAACTGAATTGATACCGCACACTGGAAGTATTGCACACCTTTCACATACTAGTAAGGTCAAAACTTTGGTATAATTATGTGGCCACACAGACGTGGGGAGAACAACTGCGAAGTAATATTTTGAGGACAATAGGTTAAATAATATTACATTTTAAAAATTGCTTTACCGAATAACATAATGTAAATTTATTTCCATTGTGTTATAATGTATTTTTGAAAATTCATCTGTAATGAAGAATTCCTGAGAATTGGAGGCTGACCTGAATTCTTGCCATAATATTTTATATACCTCATTTTTGTACTAATCACTGAAAGCTGTACAGGTGAAACTGATTTACTCCTTTTACTACAGGGAAAAGAAACCCACAGAAGAAATACAAAATTACTGGAAAATAATTCTAAAGAGACAGTAGATTAATTCTCAGAGAAACCAAAAGAAGAGTCTGAGGATTGTCTTAAGTAGAATGGGAAAAAATCTATCTTACAATACAACATTGTATCATTATAAATTTATCCCAGAATAAACATGGTAGGATGAAATAAAACTATTTTTTATGCAGCTTCACAGTAAAGAAGCATCTCTACCACAGCAAATGTTTTTGTAACTAACAACTGCAATTTCAGGTAGGAAACAGTTCTCCCATGATCTAGGTGCAGGAACACATTCTTAATGCACACAAACTCTTCCTTTCTAGCAGGAAGATTGAAAATATTCCATAGAAGGATTCAAAGACTGAAAATTACAGCATTAGATTTGGTGTGTCATCCCCCCCCCAAGAATCCATTACTGACTGCATTACCGGTACTTAACCATAAGCTTTCTCAGCACACAAAAGGCAAAACTGTTATTGTAATGATTTTAATTCTCTAATGTTAAAGTGTTTAACATAGCTCACTGGCTGCACAGTAAAGTACCATGGTACCTTGTAATAGAAACCTGAAGCTCTACTGACTGTGCACTTTGGAAAAAGAAAAAGTATCATCAGATACTTCTTAATCAAGTATATGTGGGTGGAGACCACCTTGTATAAATACAAGTGTGTTCACATTTGCTGTTTGGACTTTGCCTAGTGAAGCTTTACAATATCAAGAGGAAAACTGCTATGAAATGATTCACATGATCACAATCAAGGAATGTAAAAAACTACGGGGAAAAAATGAAATTTAAACCAAACTGCTCACAATTAAAGATTAGTCCTTATTGATGAAACACATGAAATGAATCATCCCAGGAATACCGAAACATTAATCTTACAACTGAAGCCAGTAATTGCACAGAAGTGTAATGAGAGCTTTACAAAAGAAAACAGCAGCCACGTATATCTTGTGGAAAAAAAGAACATGAAGTGTACAAAAGAGTTAATACTATGGATGTGGCAACAGTTCCTCAAAGTTAACGTGAAGTCTACATTTTGTTAGGGCTGACAAAATACTGTTGGTGGTAGTTAAACATAACAAAACAAAAACCAGCTGCTTGCTTGACAGATGAATAGATACAAGACACCCAAGCCTGCAGCCTTTAGCCTAACACAGAAAGTGACCTTACACGCATACACCCTGTTCAGTTCCATGATTAGCTTGTAGTTCTGTATATCAAAACGGATCTGAAGCAGCAGTTTAGCAGGAAGTGAGGATGGGCACATAAAAGAGAACTTCTGCAACACACAAGACTTCCAGACTCTCAAGCGAATTCATAAAGTTTCTGCAAGACAGATTTACTGACCATTCACAAAGAACAAGTGGTAGTTACAAGACAAATATATAATTAAACATACTGGAATTGTACAAAGATACTTCTTTCTTGTGATTGAAATGCATTGCTAAAAACAACAGTGCTAGCTGAAGGGACCTTTGCAAAGATGACATGAAACCTCCTGGAGTTACAAGGGGACATGACTGAACAGGTAAGACACAGATTCACCATTGTGTGTTCTTCGAATTGCCTCAGCCAGGATCATGGAAATGTCAATAAACTGAAAGAAAAAAAAAATCACAAGAGGGTAAATTCTATAGGATAGCAAGAACAATAAATTAACTATACAGTTTATAAATGTACAAACAAACATTCAATTTACCATTGTGCTCTCTCATCTTCTCGGAAGTAAAATAACATTACAGCATTAGGTACTTCACATCCACATAAGAAGTGCATTAATACAAATTAGAAACTCAAAAGCTGAATAAGAAAGCATCGAATAAGACTGCTGCACACTTCTGGCACAGGGCATGTTGTCAAAACGAAACTGTTCTAGCCATCAGATGGCAGTGTCCACTTGACACAAATACAGTTTAAGGGCAGTATACCTTTTAAGTACTTGCCTTGTTTCAATAAATACCAAATAAACTTCAACCTTTTTAAAGTTCAATGTTGCATTAAAACAACCCTTGTATGATTTCCTCCACTCTGTACTAAGGAAAAACTTCAAAAGGGACAAAAGACTTCCCAAAATAATCTCATGTAAAAGCTTCTGACCTAAGTTAGCTTTGTATTTTCAGCTTGGTTTTTGAAAAGAAATCTGTCATTGTTATCGCGAACATTTTTGTTAGTGTATTTTCCAAAAAAATGAAATCATGTAAGGTTTCTGTGGCATCCACAATAACATAGCTAAAGTTCCTACATACAAATATTGCATGATTAATATTGATCAAAAAACAACCAAACAAAAACAAGCCAGCCAATTTTACATTTGCTACTGTTTCAGAGTCATGCATACTCAATCTGTTGCAAATATCAAATACATCGCAAAACTGTATTCTACTACCTGAATCACCTTAAAACAGTTCTTTGGCGTGATTTAGCATAATGTTCTGCAAACAACAAAGCAGCACATGGTAATTTAGAATACTATTTTCCTCTCCAGGCAAAAATTCTAGCATTACTGAACAGTAAAATACAAATTCAGAGTTTAAACAGGTGACAAAGACACCACTGTACCTGAATTTTTGGGCAGTGTTTCATTTTCTCTTCTTGGGGGATTGTATTAGTTACCACAACAGCCTCAAATGATGCATTATTAATCCGAGAAATTGCAGGACCAGAAAAGATGCCATGAGTAAGAATGGCATAAACTTTGGTAGCTCCAGCAGATACTAGCCTGTAGAACACCAAAGGAAAAGTATGCTGTGATGTATGTTTACATACATGGCTATAGATGAAGTCAGACGCAAATCTCTGTAAAATACATTTTACACACACACAAATTCCACCTGGAAGCTACAGGAAGATACAAATATTTACAAAATAATTCAGATAATTTTAAACTTCTTCAAGTTATATGAATAAGTCTCACAAAAAAAATAATAATTAACTGCCAATTAAATAAAAGAGCTCTATAGGGAGCAATGATACTTCTCTAAAATGCTGCACTTTTGACCATATCAGCACAACATACAACTGAATTCCAGTACAAGTTTTCCATCTTAATCAGGCAAAAATGAAGTAGATTGGATGGCAGCATTCACAACTCTGTTGTGCCTCCATTATTGTCCACCTTTATTTTCATTCGCAATTCAAACAAATCTGATTGGAAAGAGTTTCTGAGGAAGAGAAATGCCAGTGATCAAAAGCCCAGTCTACTGCAAGGTTGTGGGAAGACAGGCTGCTGATCAAAGCATGCATTAAGTGATACAGCACAGGAGAAAAAAAACAACGGTATAAATCAAAGAACTAGAACACCTTGTAAATGAGTCAGAATTTCTTAATTTGGTTTTTACCAAAAAAAATGCGCCTGCTTCCACATGCTTGGAGCAGGCCCAGAGGAGGGCCACAAAAATGATCCAAGGGCTGGAGCACCTCTCTTGTGAGGACAGGCTGAGACAGTTGGGGCTGTTCAGCCTGGAGAAGAGAAGGCTGCGGGTTGACCTTATTGTGGCCTATGTATATAATTAAGGGGACTTATAAGAAAGATGGGGACAAACTTTTTAGGAGGGCCTGCTGCGATAGGACAAAGGGTGATGGTTTTAAAGCAAAAGAGGGTAGATTTAGACTGGATATAAGGAAGGATTTTTTTTACCATGAGGGTGGTGAAACACTGGCACAGGTTGCCCAGAGAGGTGGTAGATGCCCCATCCCTGGAAACATTCAAGGTCAGGCTGGACGAGGCTCTGAGCAACCTGACGTGGTTGAAGATGTCCCTGCTCCCTGCACAGGGGTTGAACTAGACAACCTTTCAAGGCCACTTCCAACCCAAACTACTCTATGATTCTATTCTATGCTCAGCTATGTCCTAGATGCTTTTCTAGTCCTACAAATGGAGGCCATAAAGAGCGATATTTTATCAGATCATAGCATAAGCACTGTAAGATAAGAAAAAAGACAAAAGCCACAGAAACATCTCATTTTGAATGACTCTGCAGAATCAAAGTTTTCCAGGCATTCTCAGCATTACGTTTAGTAGCTGCAACCTATAAGAAGGATGCACTCACTATGACAGGGTGAGTGTGCACCAACATTGTCTACTTAAGTTTGTACTTACACAAGTTGATCTGCTATATCTGAAAATACATTTCTTAGTTCATCTGCTTGATATATATGTAGGTTGTTGAAATAAAAAGAGATCTAAGAAGTATGCAGTGAGCAAGTCTAAGCACAAAGTACATATCACCTGGATTTGGCATTAATGAAAAGCACTTTGTGTCAAGAACACGATATAAGGCAGCATCACTCAAGCAGAGGCATCTTTCTTGGTGAACACTGTAGATACATTGAAGGTTTCTGATGGTTTTAGAATTTGGTCTATAAAAAATCCACTGTAGGTAAATAAAGAAGTGCTTCTTTCGTAAGAAGAAATAAAGGCCTCCTTTTTGACAAGAATTAACTTCCTCTGTGCACAGGAGTATAAAAAAGAACCATTGGCTAGACATTTTGTGATTTGGATCTGCAAAGGGCACAGCCCAGAAGCTTTGGGGTCTGATGCAGATTAGTATGCAGATAACAAACAGTAGCACAACATCTCTTTGCAAAATTCCACCAAATTTCCATCAAAGTGAAAAGAAACACAAGACCATATGAATCCTACCACGAGTTTTTGACATCCTTTTACCTAGATGCAAACAGCAAGCCTGCAACTAAATACTGTAAACTCATGGGATGATTTTTACTTCAGATCACTAACCATAATGTCTAGCTCACTTTAGCTGGACCCTTTTGCTTCAACAGAACATGAAACAGAGTCAGGCAGGAAGAGCCACATGGACCTGTTCTGGATGCAAGACTATTTGATACTTTCATAGTGCCTACAAATATATTGGTCTGGAATATAAATTCAAAACACTCTCAACTGACACATATTAGCTAAAGAAAGGATTACATCCAAGAGTAGCAATGCCACAGTAAATGTCCAGCAACATCAATTTCAAACATTCACATGCCTTGCTCCTCAGCAGTTTTTTCCCCACTTCCAATGTGCACTATTTACAAGCATATTGGGGTGGGCTTTGCTATAAACAATATCAAAATACAAGATATTTGAATGTAAGATTTAAAACCTCAGGACCCTGGCCAAGTTTAAATTGCATCCCTCGTCCTCAAACCGAATTTGGTAGCACATCTTTGGATATGAGCAGACAAGGCAGGAGCACTTTAGTCTAGTGTTGCTCAGCTGTAATACCTCAAATTTGTTCTCAATGAATTTCAGTCCATTTCTCCAATTTGTGAAGACAATTCTGAAGCCAGACTTACTGCCATACATACTGAGTTGTGAAGCCACAGCAACAGGAAGAATTAATAATTTTAAGAATCATCTTTTTTTTTAAAGGCTACAGACATTACTAAAGTACAGTGTGGTCGATAATGCCAACTTCTGTGGAAAAAACCCCACTGCTACCCTGAAATGTACCAGCATAAAGCCAGCTGGAAAATCATAAAGTAATCCCTTCTACTTAGCACTGCTAGGGCCCCAGTTAAGATAGAGAGCCTACATTCACATGCTCCACTTCAAGAAGTGGATCAACAGCCCCAAGAATTACAACTGCCTCAACTAAGAAAAAAAGAAGGGTCATTGTCATAGGCGATTCCCTTCTGAGGGGAACAGAGGGCCCGATCTGCCGCCCAGACCCATCCCACAGGGAAGTCTGCTGCCTCCCTGGGGCCCGGGTTAGGGATGTTGCGAAGAAACTCCCTGGTCTGGTGCGGCCTTCTGATTACTACCCCCTCTTGGTAATGCAGGTTGGCGGGGACGAGGTAGCAGAAAGAAGTCCCAAGGCCATCAAAAGGGACTTCAGGGCACTAGGGCGACTGGTTGAGGGATCAGGGGCGCAGGTGGTGTTTTCCTGCAATGGAGTAGACATCTTTCACAAGCAGCAAGTCTGCAGAATGTGTAGGATATTCATGGAAAATTTTAAAGCCATTCTGTGCACATAGTGCCTAGGTAAGCCTTCAAAGCTTAAAAGGAAGATAGCATCTTCCTTTTAAAAGGAACATAGCATTTGTGGAGCTCAGCTATCACAAAGGGGGAAAAGAATTCTTGGCCACGAGCTGGCGGGGCTCATTGAGAGGGCTTTAAACTAGGTTCGAAGGGGGAAGGGGATATTGCCCAGCTCACTAGGGATGAGCCGAGGCTTGGAGTGCCAAGGCCAGGGGTGAGATTGACAACCCAGCTCAAGTGTGTTTACACCAATGCACGTAGTATGGCCAATAAACGCAGGAAGAACTTGCCCACAGCCGTGTTCCCAGACAGCCTGGAGTGCTGGCAAAAAAGACATCCGGGCTGATACCGCAGGGAGTCTGATGGACTTGCCGGAGGAGAAGAGAGCCAGGCTTCCTTCATGGTGCAGAATTGCTGTTCACTTGTGTGAATCAGCTAACCCTCTCTTGGAAAAAGCTGTAATACTTAGACAATGTGGGTAACAGTCCCATCCTCTGTGCAAGATTTTGTTATTTGGGAAAATGGAATTATGTATGTCATTGGTTTTTTTTCAGCCATTTAAAAATGCCAGAAGTTCTTCAAACTGTTTAAGCTCCTGCATCTCACTTTCTTGGAAATGACTTTGTATTTCTTAATAAACAAGATGTTGAATTTTTAGGTGTTGGTTATGAGGTCTTACGTGGGATTAAGTGCATCTTATGTTTTCAAAGAAACCCTGAAATCAAAATTTATGATTGAACACCCTAAATCTGTGACAGCTGATTTGTTAATACTCAGTCAAACACTGGAGTTATGTTTAGCTGATATTGTGAAGTGTTCAGCACATGATGCCGCCAACCAGCTCACCCCAGGGGTATTTTCAGAGCTGGGAAGTCCTGATAGTAGCGTCGTGGCAGGCAGGTTGAAGATCTTTCTTGAGTTGAAGATTATGAAATCCTTGCAAGGGGAAGGATTGACATCCAAATAACTCTCTAAGTTTGGCCTTGGATCTAAAAGGCAGCTCTTCTTCTGTGGAAGCAATCTGAGAACATAATAGAAATAAGATCCCAATACATATGGTGACAGAGCCTACGAAAAAAAACTGAAGAGAATATGGAGGAAACATACCACACTGCCTGTCCAAACTGCTCTGTGTGTGGTACTTCTGTAAATGTCAGTGTATGTGATGATCCGAAATTTCTACTGCTATGAAAGTTTCCTTCCTTCTCTGTGAGAATCAGAACTCATTCCATCCCTAAGCAGATTAATGACTTTGCAACAACATGCATACCAAGAGCCTCACCTGAGTTCCTGATAGCCTTGCAGAGCACTGGGAGCTGGAATAGGATTTCCAAAGAAGACATGGAGACGTGCTTTAGGACCATTTCGGAGTTACAGATACGTATTACACAGGCCTTTATGGGAAATTTGCTGATCTGCACTCTTCAAAAAATGTTATGGGTAGGGAGAAACTTTCACATAGGAACAGATTATAGAGACAGATGACCAGTTTCTGCATCATTTTGCTATACATAATTTCATTTATCATCAAAGAAGAGGCATTACCTGCAAGACAGAACGCATTTTGGCCCAATATTTGTAGTGTTAGGAAAATACTAAGGGACAAAACAAGAATGACAAATTTGTAAACTAAAGGGCAGCAATGGTTGAACACGTATGCACTACAAAATTGCTGGCTGATGGAAGAGACTGAGCTGTGGTTCATCCTGCCATGTGGTGTGCAGATGTACGAGGCTGTCCCACCACGCTCCCCCCAGTGCTGGGGTGGGAAGCTAAAAAGTCCATGCTTACCTCGTTGCACCTTGTCCTGTTCTGAGAGCGTGGGGGGCTCTCTGGAGATTTTCATGGTCTCTGGCCTTGTCAGCTGTGCTTCATCACCCTGGCAGGCAGGGCCTGGTGGCGGTCCTTGAGTCAACTGCGCTGTTCTAGCTCCTGTGCTGCTAAAACTGGAGACCACGCCTCACGCCTTGCCCAGTATGTTGGTTTTCTTAGACTCATCTGCTTCGCACCTGTATAGCAAAAGTGAAACACGCAAAATACCCATCATGTTGTGTAATGCGGCCCAACTTTTGGAAACAGAAATCATAGCACAAGGTAAAATGGCAGATGGGTGTGCTTAGGGTAAATGCGTACTCACCTGTGCTTAAAATGGATTAAATACGTTTTCTGTCATCAATCACAGCTACCTTGGCTGCTGGAGTAATACAAAATATTGATTCTGTCTAGTTAGGACAGCATATCTGGCTACTTTTCTAGTATTATAAGGTGATCTCCTAATGTGTTAAGTGAAACCTAACTTGCTCTGCGGAGAGGGACCTGGGTGTCCTGGTGGACGACAGGTTAACTATGAGCCAGCAGTGTGCCCTGGCTGCCAAGAAGGCCAATGGGATCCTGGGGTGCATCAAGAAGAGTGTGGCCAGCAGGACAACGGAGGGTCTCCTTCCCCTCTACACTGCCCTAGTGAGGCCTCATCTGGAGTACTGTGTCCAGTTCTGGGCTCCCCAGTTCAAGAAGGATGAAGAGCTACTGGAGAGAGTCCAGCGGAGGGCTACAAGGATGGTGAGGGGACTGGAACATCTCCACTACGAGGAGAGGTTGAGGGAACTGGGCTTGTTCAGCCTGAAGAAGATAAATGCCTACAAATATCTGCAGGGTGGGTGTCAGGAGGATGGGGCCAAGTTCTTTTCAGTGGTGCCCAGTGACAGGACAAGGGGTAATGGGCACAAACTGAGGCACAGGAAGTTCCGTCTGAACATGAGGAGGAACTTCTTCTCTCTGAGGGTGACGGAGCACTGGAACAGGCTGCCCAGGGAGGTTGTGGAGTCTCCTTCTCTGGAGATATTCAAGACCCGCCTGGACAAGGTCCTGTGCAGCCTGCTGTAGGTGACCCTGCTTATGCGGGGGGGTTGGACTAGATGACCCACAGAGGTCCCTTCCAACCCCTACTATTCTGTGATTCTGTGATTCTGTGATTCTGTGAAAGAACCCAGAGGGCATCCACAACAGAGCAGAAGTCTAGAAACCACATGGAAAGACTGAACAAACTCAAGTTACTAAGTCTAGAGGTGAACAAGAACACTCTTCAACTAACTTCCAGACAAAAGACAGGAAGACTTATTGTCATCTCCCCAGATAAAAAGCACAAGTAGTTTTATACTGAATATGTACATTAAAGATTAATATTAAACACATACTGAACACCGGGGAGAAAGTACTTTCCAATGTTAAATCTAGTAAAGCTTTGCAAAAGATTGCCTCAGGAAAGTGGAAAGGCTCCATGATGAGGGTTTAAGACAAGAACGATTTTCTGTGTGTCATTTGTGCTTTGGAACTGAAAAAATAAACACTAGGCGGCCCAAGTCCCTTCTGAGTTGGATGACTTTTTCTTTATTCTGTCCTCTTTCTAAATACAGATTAGATATGTCTATAAATATTTTCGCAATTCCACGTTCTAAAGAAGGACACAGCTTGATCACAGGACTGTGACCTACAGACTCAAGGATCAGAGTGACTTCATGCTACAGAGATCAGGCTGGGTTATAAGTATGCAGGGCACAGCAATTGCATCCATCGGCTATCTGCAGGTTACAGCACAGTGAGACAGTGGGCCAGTTCATAATGATACTTACTTTTCTGCTGCGTGACATATTGTGCCACATGTGTCAGCCATATCATCGACAAGAATTGCTACTCTGTCTTTCACGTCACCAACCAAGACCATTCTGTCCACTTCATTTGCCTTCTTTCTTTCCTTATGAATGAGAGCAAATTCCACATTCAGTCTGTCAGCAATTGAAGTAACCCTAAGTTACAGGAAGAAATACACGACATTTAGAGAATTATTTTAAAAGAAAAAATAGAGGCATGTATGTGTATTTGTCATAAAACACAGTTTTTATATTTCCTGGCTTTCAGAGTACTGCAGCACAACCTTTCGCAAGTAATAAGACAGGTTAGAAACAATCTTAATTCACTGCTAATAAATACAACCAGAGTCTTAAGCTATACTCCAGAAATCATTTTTTTTATTGAATTGACTTTGGCTTTCTGTCATTAAGTGCCTGGCTTTGAAAACATTTCAGCTACTCAGAAGCTTTTATTAAGCTGCTGCAATACCTAGCCATACCAGATAATTTAAAGTAAAGGTAGCCTCAATCCTAAGCCTACAGCAGCACGCACTTTAACATCCTAACTGAAAATATGATTGCAGGAATATGAAACCAAACCAATGGGAAAAAATAAACATATTAATAATGATTAATAATTCTTTTAGCAGTACTTGACTAGTAATCAAGTAGCTTTCTTCATTAGCAATTCCCTTAGCAATGCATTTGCTTGACAAAGATCTTTTTAAAACTGTTCAGGGTGACCTCTGGTGGCCACACAAACCTCCAATAACAATTTGTTACAGACTTCTGATCACCTTTTTCAGGTTTTTTAATATACCAGAGCCAGTAGGTATAAAGATACAGGAATAAACAATACTATGTTTATTCTGTGCTGGCGCAACCTTGTAGCCTGTCTCTTTACAATGTTGTTTACAAGGTTATTAACAGGCACTGCTAACAGAAAATACAGTTTTGCTTCCGTAGCACTTAAATATGAAGGAGCCGTTAGTTACTGCACTTCAACGGTTGGGTGATAAACAAAAAGCCCCAAATGTTTTGGATTTTTTTAGTGAACAATGGTGTAATTTCATAGCAAGTCACAATACCTCAGAGGCATTAAGATACCAATAGAGTATTTGAGTCCCAAAAATTCAATAAGCTGGGGAAAAAAAACAAGTAGTAAGAAACAACAAAAAAATTCAGATATTTTAAATGAGTGCAAGAACATCTATCTTTAAATTTCTTTAATGCTTACAGATTTAAATTCTAGAGACAAACTTTCTTCGCATTCTATTCACTTTCCATTAACCCAAGTATTATTTTGGAGGTCCACATGTTTTAAACAGAAAGGCCAAACCATTTTCTTTACATTACTGGAAGTAAAGGAGCAGCTATGAATTTATTGAAAGCAACATCTTCCCCTGCTTCACCAGCAACTGCCTGGTTGCATTACAACAAAAGGTACCAAAGACAGACTCTATCTATGTATGTTAAATACAGTAAGAGTGGTCCTCAAAATATAAACTCTTATGGTCAACTTGACAACACACGAATATTTGCCGGGGGGAGGAAAAAATGCTATCTTCTGTCTTGAATTCTAAGCAAAGGCTGTATTTCGTTTCAAAGACAAACAAAAACCCAACTGTGAAAACAACAGTATTCCTATCGGAATACACAAAGAAATTTAATTGACCGAGTCACCTGTATTTTAGAATGCTTTCTATAGTTTATATTCTTCACATCTTTAACTTGATTAATCTAAACAGGAACAACTAATGAGTTGTAATCAGTCTTATTTCCCTATTAATTATTAGAACATGAACACTCACAACAGACCCAAAGACTTCAATTAACATCACATTCTGACAGTCTTTCACATTTTTCCCCATACTACTTCCCAAACATTTACATGACTATGGGCTTACGTGATTCTTAGTTCATTTGTCTTTGTTCCCATTCAGTTTTGTAGCAGCAGCATGAGCAATAAAACTTGAGAATAAGCATTTTGCCTCAAAGGCATGTTTTATCACCTCACCAGCCAGCACGCTTCTGAGATTTTGCATTAGTTTATACTCAGATAGCAAATAAAGGATAGTCTGCTGAACAAGTAATGCATGCCATGAATGAAGAAACACTCCAATGAACTAACTTCTCTATTTTCACCTTTTGCCACTCAAAACAAAACTTTACTCCCTTTTTCTGGTATTCACAGTGTACAACTTGGGGTCAATAGGTTTACAGCTGGAATGCAGTAACACAAAGAAAAAAGAAACACAACTCAAGCAAGCTCTTACCTAAATGCCAGCAGGTACAGTGGGGATAGGCCATATGTTTTGACAGAGAAGAGAAACTTAGGCAATTCCAGAGCGAAGCAGGAAGAGGTGCAGCAACTGGACTAAAGAAGCAAGCAGCAGGAAAAATCTCTTCCCTCCTGCGGAGGGATTCAGCTAACAACGCCATATCCAGGGAGAGAGAAAAAGATTTTCTTTAGCATATAGAAAGCTCCTGGATGTTGTCAAGCATGAACAATACTGAGAACTATTTATCTGGTTTTTACAATGCAGTTGGATTCATCAGTGATGTACCCTGTATCTTGCACAATTCATAGACGAAAAAAAGATGACTAGACAAACTAGTTCATTAACCACTAGCTATACGGAAAACTAATAGTGTTAGGCTTGTATGGTACCTTTTTGCACCACCTGCATCAGGTGAGACTATGATACAGTTTCTCCACTCCAAAATGTTCTCCTTAATCCACTGCAGCACTGCAGGTTCTGCATACAGGTTATCGACTGGAATGTCAAAGAAACCCTAGTCCAAAAGAGAAAAAAAGTTTCATTAACATACGTTTATGTCCTACCTGGAACAAAGACACACAGCAACAATCAACCCTTTGCCTTTCATTTATGATGGAACTTCAATTAGTATTTTACACAGGCCTAATTCTGCACTCTGCTATTACTACCAAATGCAGCACAAGTTAGCCAAATACTAAGGTCTCTAACAACCTCACCCAAGAGCAGTGAAATAAAGTACAGCTGTTCTGAAACAATATAAAAATCAGAAAATATCATCACTTGCAAGCACTCAAGTAAATTCATGCTTGTGAAAAGCTCTCAAAAAAATCTAGTAATACTCAACTTCCATAAATTTTAACTGCTTGACATGAACACTAGTGTTTCAAAATGGGGAAGATTCAAGTTAGTATTACTTGAGCAGGAGAAACAGAATCTTTCTTTTTGTGCAAGCTGTAATGACAAGAAAACTGTTAGACCACAAATGAAACTGCTTTTTATTTATATGACAGCCATCTAGCATAAGGGGAAATTCTGATTAAACAGAATACCAGAAATGGAAGAGGAGGTATTTTCTAGAAAAAACAAGATATCTTGAAAAGAGATACACACAAGAATGACAAACAATGTCTGCTCTGTGTCCGAGGACAGAGTCTTCTCATTTGCTGGATTCAGCCAGCTAAGGGTTGCCAGTCTCCATCTCCACTTCTCATATGAGAATATTGTCCCCTTTGCTGTAACAACAAAGCTATCTAGGGCAATACTACCATCTCTGACCAAGCCAAGATTTAGAGAACTTGCCCCAAACCAGTATATTTTATGTTCTGGGAGCTCTTACGCTAGACTTTGTAAATTCAGCTAAAAGCTCCAACGTACAGGTATTCAAAGTCACTGCAAAATCACTCCATAAAAATCAAAGCTGGTCTCTTTCAAAAAGGGAATTTAATTAGGCACAGGTAGCGAGACTTGCTCTGAACCCTGAGAATTACATTTCTGTATATATCCTTTCAAAACAATGAGGAAAAAAACCCCAGAGAATGAATATTAACCTTTCATATTAATTCAGTAGAGTTCCTAGCCACAGATAGTAAGAATGGATAGTTACCTGGATCTGAGAAGCATGCAAGTCCATGGTGATGATGTGGTCAGCCCCTGCAACTGACAGCATGTTGGCAACAAGTTTTGCAGAGATTGGAGCACGACTCTGAGGAATAAAGCACAAATGTTTAAATATTAAAAATATTTTGATGAGATGCAAGGAGTCAGAAAGTTAGCTACTTTTATTGATTTTTCTTTTAGAAAATTTGAAATGTAGATATAAAGGGCTCCAGAACTTCAGCTAAACTAGCCTTTCAATAGCTAACCTTGCTACTAGGGTTTTGAAACTCAGCAAAACATTTAGGAGTATCTAAATCAGTTTGCACGGTACTGCTCTGCAGTAATTTGACTAACAAGCAGATAAAACTGAGGACATAATTTTCCAGTTCTTCTACTTAAAACTCCCAACTAGCTTTTCTACAGCAGACAGACAATCTCCATTTCTCTAAGCCACTACCCTGCACTAACAACCAACTCTCAAGCAACTATCCTGTTCTAAAAAACATGGCCAAAAACAACAATTGAAGGCAGAGTGAACCCAACTTTTTGAAAAGATCTATGATAGCAGGGGTCTTCTAACCCAGCCTATTTATTTTTTTGCTAATTCAGACTTAATTGTTAGATGCAATTAGGAGTCTAGAATTCCCAAAAGGGGCAGGGCAGATGGAAAAAAACAAGGAAGTGGGAAGAAAAAAGACAAGCAAAAATCTAATCAGTGAAGTTAATGCCAATGTCAAGAACTTTTTAACAGTGACAAGGATGCAGAACAAATAGCAACATAAGAACCCAGAAGATGGAAAATCATGACTGGATGATACCTCATTTTCAAATTTTCTTTAAGCTCTGGAAAAAAACCAAAACCAAAACCCTATGTTGCCCTAGACAGCTTTCTCTGCAACAGAAATACTAAAAAAAACCCCTCCTGCTTGCTTTTTGTCAATTTAAGTCAGGCTAATAGCTGGCAACAACACTAGCATGAAGGCAGAACTGCAATTCAGAGGTTTCATCTCACTGTCAGACTCTTTTGCTGGCACAGTATTCTCTCCTGCTACATCTTTACCAAACAGCCTCATTTAGCCTCCTAGGAACCCCCCCTCCCTCCACCCCATGTACACAATTACAGAGTATCTGTTTTCCTTCCACTAATGCTCAAGGTCATAACCTAAAATAAGATGCACCACTGCCAATTTAATCCAGATGCTCTTCTGTCTGCGTCATATCAAGGAGCCAGTATTTTCCTCAAAACTGTTGCGAATTTAGGTGAGAACTCTGCATTTCTGTTTTAACTTGCAGATTGCAAACACACTTTCAAAAAAGAAACGGGGATATTGCACTCTTTCTTATGGCCAGATCAAGTTTATTATCATCATTACAGAAATTCTTCATTTTGAAAACCATCCCTTTTGGTTATCATGTTTCACAGAACATCACCACCATTTAGTCTGTGTAAGATACACAGAAGATATACGCAACTGCTAGCACTTCCCTAGATCTCTGCAATTCAGATGCATACAGCTTCCATAAGAGTTTGATTGTGACTGATGCTTCAGCACAGACGATTTTCCAGTTAGAGGATTATGCTGCTCCTCATTTAAGTTCAGCTCTCTGTAAGGTTCAAGACAGCCAAAGCTTTCTGGATATTTCTACTATTAGTAGTAAACTTTTGGTTCATACCATTCAAATTCCTGATCGCTTCAGCTCATTTTAGCAGAACAAACCAACATTTTTAAGCTGCGCTTCAAAATATTCTCAAAACTCTGGCAGCGTCTAACACAAAGATTTCATTTCTACTCTGTTGACTCTACCACAATGTTCTCTTATCATCTCTTTGCAAAGGTCTGGTTTGATGTTACAGCTAAACTGGATTAACAGGTGATGCTGAAACAGTGAGCTTTTCTCTTCTGCTTGTCCCATCGCTTCTTCCCAGGCTATACATTTCCACCACTTCCCTTGGGTTTCACACCAGGACTTGTCTGAACCCACAATAGCCAAATCATAAAATCATAAAATGCTTTGGGGTCAAATGGACCTTTTGAGGTCATCTAGCCCAAGCCCCCTGCAGTGGGCAGGGACATCTTCAACTAGACCAGGTTGCTCAGAGCCCCATCCAACCTGGCCTTGAATGTTTCCAGGCATGGGGCCTCCACTGCCTCTCTGGGCAGCCTGTTCCAGTGTTTCACCACCCTCTTTGTCAAAAATTTCTTCCTTATATCCAGTCTAAGTCTACCCTCCTTTAGTTTAAAACCAAATGACGCAGCTCAAATGGAAGAGAAAGGAAAAGATGATGGCAAACCAGGACCACTCCCTCTGGTAGAAACAAGTAATAGTTCAGGGCTGCTGAAGGCAAATTACATTCTTCCTAGAATGTGGTTTGCCATTTCCATTCCATCTGGCATGGGGAATTTTGCTTTTATTTTTTTCCATTTCTGTGCAAAGTGAATACCACCTAGCTTGTCTTATGATGGTGATACTCATGATACTGATACATTAAAAAAACCCAAATATTTTCCTGCATCAAATACTAATGTATACATTACCAGTTGGTACTTCTTTCAGCGGCTCGCCTTGCAGGCTGCCTTCCCAGAAGGAAGAACTTCAAGGTTTTACTACTAGGTAACTTGTTTTAGCAGACATGCACATATCACAGATTGCCTACATGTTGTTGGACAGAGGGTCTTAGAAGGAAAGATAGCCATACACCAATACTTGTTTCTCAAGAATGGGCTAACAGGAGATTAAGACAAATGAAGTTTGCAGCTATCTGACAGTTTCCTTTACACAAAATTGTGCATTAAAAGAAAATACATGACATATTCAAAAGGATTTAAGATTTGATTGCTTGCATAGAAAATAAATTTTGTACAACAATATGATCCAAATTGAAGATTGTTTTAAAATCAGAGGAAGTATATTCACGGGAACCTCAGATAACCTGGCCTCATTATTCAGAAACTTGGATGACAAAGATAGATGAGCACTCAAGATTTTATTTGTCTGGGAGTTTGTAAGGTTTGCTTCCGATCAGAGTTGCAAGAACATACAGAGATTCAGAGTATTCATTGTTTCATTCTTTGACACAATTTGAGATTAGTTTCAGAATTAGTGCGAAATGCAACATTACATTATGTACAGAAACCAAATTGTAAAAAAAAAAAATCACTGAGGTTTTAGTTCCTAAGCAAGTTCCCCACTTACGTAGAACAAGTTACATAAGCGATTTCTTCCTTTGTGATGCATTACAAATTTATTCACAATTCTTAAAATTACCAGGGGCAAAAGGAAATCCACAAAGCTAATACAAACAACCTCACAAGAATAACTATGCAAAGGATACATGGCTGAAAGTAAAAGTTGTCTATCAAGATTAAAGTTCGGTTGCCATTAAGCATCTTATTGTCTTGCTCAAAATGCATCACATGTATACTGAACAACAAAAAAAAAATCCAAGAAACCCCAAAGATTTATAACTGGAACTTCCACTTCCAAGAAAGCCAGTTGTGAAGTGTATGGACACTGAATGTTCACTAATTTATAACCTAAATTTATAATTTCAAAAATGAGACATGCTTTGAAGCTTCAGAAGTTGACAGCCATTATCTTGAATATCCAGATAAATTTTTATCTGGGAGTTTTCTAGTAGCAAATTATTCCACAGGATTACTGTTATGGCCTAGGTGAAACACAACTGAAATCAAGAAGTGAAACTGAAAGTGTTCCCAGTTATACATAATGTAACCCAGTAAGTTTCACCCTTTAAGGCCATATTAATGGAAATGCATAGCGTTAGATTAAAAAAAAAAAAAAGGATACCTACCCAACGCTCCACGGACCCCTTCTACAAATCAAAAAAACAAAGTTACATGAGCTGTAGAACACCAAACTCACCTGTCAATCTACTTCTAACTTATCTCAAAGGCATCTCTGCAGCATCCTGCATAAATGTGTCCTGCCCATGGCATGGAAGATTAGCATCATTAGAGGATGCATAAATGTAACTATGGCCAGAGCACAGATACACCTAAGCTAATTTTAAATTAACTACCTTGTGTATCAGAAGTTTTCTAGTTTATGGGAGTGCTTGATTGCACCTAAATTAATTTACCAACTTTTCCACAATTCTCAGCAAGCCTTTTTTTTAAACCTCTGTTTCTTATTTAAAGCTTGTCCAGGTTTAACGCTAAATTTCCAGAGCACATTACCCTGGCCTTGTTCTGAATAGGGTTTTTTTTACTGCAAGGCCCATTCCTTAAATAAATAAATCAAGAGCACTTTCATTGCTCTCAGTGTTCGTAACTGCAGAGACATGAAGAACACAGGGTAATTTCAAGCAGCAAGGACTCACTCCAGTTCTTTATGGATTAAAGTCAACAACTTCAAATCAGAAAACCATATCCAGCTAGTGAAGATTACACTGCTTCAGTTCACAGACAAGAAAACTACAGAAACATCTTTCAGAGAGAAGAAAATCTGTGTATAACCATAGGAAGAAAATGGCTGGCACTTTACTGACACTTCAGGCAGCATGCAAAGCTTGTGCACTCAACATGGGTCAAAGACCAAGTGATGTGATGCAATCCAACAGCAGGAGGAAAGATCTACCTGTCAATAAGCTGCACAAAGTTGACAGCTGTATTATAGCTTATTTTGCAACATGGAGGTCAACTACCAAGGTTAATTTCCAAAGATGGCAAACATTTTCTCAATTGCAAACAGAGGTAAAAAAAAGAAAAAATACATGGCTTGCCTAGCATTGCAGGAGAAGTCGGTGACACCCAGAGAACTGTCTGGAACCACAGTCAAAACCTCTGTTAACCAAAATCACTTTCCTAGTCTATCCACCTTCAGGTGGCATTTCCAAAAGACAAAATGCTTCTTGGTGACATGCTGGGCCACCACATTGTGGGTTTTAAGTATCTCTTGGAAGTCTTCCATGCGGATTTTGAGTACCCTTGACAAGGCATAACCTAGACGCATGGAAAACTTGGGACATACTCATCCTTTTCCCATACCAAGAACTTACAGGATGTTACAGCAGAATCTTCCAATATGAACTTGGAAATCAAAACACAATGAGATACTTTCCTTCCCTTTCAACACAATGTTTACCGCTTCCCTTCCAAGCTCTTCTGATAAGAAGGAGTATTTCAGCTCTCCTGATAGAGAGAGCGCATTATTCGATACAAAATATAGCAAAAAGGAAGTTCCAAAAGAAGTATGCAAAGAATAGATAGATACTATGTAACTCGAATTCCATTTTTGGATGTATAACAAGCGGGTCTTAATAATACTGGTATGGTGTTAGAGAACCTGCATTAAAAGAATGAGTATATTAAAAAAATAACTTTTATGTATATAGTTTTGTTATCAGACATCACAGGCTGAACATTACATATTTGTAATATCTGCTATTATTTTTAGAGTCTGCTTTACTTCTCAGTCCTGTTGTGTTTTATATAAAAGAATGCACAGAACAACAGAAGGCTTTCGGGATGGTTTGCTTGATGCCCAAAGTGAAAGGGAGGGGGCAGTCCATTTATGGCAAGTGTCAGAGAGTGGCAATTTTCCAAACAGACAGCTATCGCAATCCAATCTTAAAAGCCAAATTCACATTTATTCTTTTGTTAGTTCTTTTCAAGTGAGTTTATGTTAAAGTAACATTCACATAACATTAGTTTTTTTGTATATATAGCAGAGATAGGAAAATTTGGTTCTGTATCTTAAAATCAAACTCACTTGCCCACAGAGTTTGTTACTCTGTTACCAACTTGGCTGAACCAGTATATTTGTCAGTTATGACAGATCAAATACTGGAAAAGGGCACCACGATCAGAAGAGTATTTATGAAGTTTGCATACAATTTTTGGTCTGCATCAATAAAAATAATTACAGATATTAAAACTTTTTTTTATTCTGCCTCACAGCACAAAATAATGTTTTTATTACTGTTATGCATTGCAGATTTAATCAGTTCCTTTCACTTGGCTCTGTTTAACCATATAGGTTAAAACCCACCTACATAAAGGTTACAGCACTTCAAATTTAGGACTTAATTCCATGCAATTAAAATGTTTAAAAGGCTGTACTCTCTTCATCTATAGAGAGTTAAAAAAAAAAGAAGGTAGAAAAAGCAGAAAAAACAGTCCCATAAGGTGAGGTCTGCTAGCAGGGTACTCTGCAATATACCACACACTTAGGATGTACTTACTTTGTCAATTATCAAAACACAAGCAAAACATAATTTATTGCTTCTCTTCATTCACCTCTGGGTGTTATAATTGAATATTTTACCAAAAAAAGAAAAAAGGCAATTCTTTCAAATCACCAAGAAGTTTACAAAAATATTTCATCTCCAAAAATTTCAAGTGAATAAGCAGAAAAAAAACATTCCGAAATTACACAGTTCTTACCTACCTTGTCTTTCTTATCTTGCCTGGCATACGGAAAACAAGGAATTACAGCAGTCACTCTGGAGGATGATGCAATCTTGCAAGCATTGATCATGATGAGCAATTCCATTAAGTTGTCATTTATTTCTCCACAGCCACTTTGGATGATATACACATCTTCTCCTCTCACACTTTCACCAATCTCTACACTGGGAGAGGAGGAGATGACCACTTAAAAAATCGAATTACTGGAAAAGCATTATTAAAGAATAGAAAAAACAGTTTTGTTTTAACAAACTTGCATAGGTTTATCCCCATTTAATTTTTTTTTTTTTACAGCAGTTTGAATAACTGTCCCCTTGATACAAAGTCCATTTCAATTTAAGCCAGTCTAAAATTTACTTCAGCCTAAATACAGCCTTTGTAAGTTCAGCACCAACCAACATGTAACTATGGCTATAGCACTGATACAGCTCACATTGCTACTAAATTTGATACTGCTTTTTTGGTTTAGTCTGTATATTCTGTGTCCTTGCCATCTCCCAAGGAGCTGACGATTTAAAGAATAACCTAGATAAGTACAGAAACCAGAGAGCCAGCTTTAGAGTATCAAATACTACTTGCATCGAAATATCTCTAAGAAAGGCAATTATATTTCTATTGTAATTAAGAGGTTACTAAATTACTGCATTTTAGAGAAGACAAATATCAAACCACACTGCAAAACCAGAAGTCTGGTTAAAATTTACACCATGGTGTCCAAGCAAAGTATTTTTTAGAAAAAGAAAGTCTTAGAGAAAGCTAAGAGCGCTACTCATCAACAGCTCACCATGACTCAACAACTCTCACATTGTGTCATTACAGCTCTATTTGCGCTTACATACTTTGGTTCCTTATGATAGTATCTAAGAGTTATTTTATTCTACCACAGATTTCAAGGCAAATTCTGGTACTGATCACTGCTCACACCACAGAATTCAAAAATTACATATAGCTTATAAATAAACAGGAAAGTCAACACACATCAGTTGAATGGGGATTCTTTTTCAATTCTAGACCCAAGCAAAAGAAATCTACTGTTGAACCACACTAACTTTTCATACCTCTTACTCCGAAACTTACACATTAAAGCAGCAGACTAACCTTCATTTTTCCCTGACTCCATGCACAACATACAAGAAACATGCAGACTTCCTAAATAACAAGGCAAACAGACCTTTCAAACCCATACTCTACTAAGTTGTTAAATTCTAAAATATCTTGGGTCCTTATTTAAAAGGTTTCATCTTCACCCAAGGTGCAACTAAGCAAAAGCTTCCAGCTGGAAACCATCAAAGTGGCCCCGATGTGTGTAGAATAATTTCTGTTCTGGGTCCTTCAACACTGAGGCTTGTTCCAGTCAAACACAGTCCAAACGACTTTTATTTATCAGCTTTCAGGGTGCTGTCTAAGACTCATTAGCTTTCTGTAGCTACAAAACACAGAAAGGAATTTACTGCTCAAAAACATCTTAATTATATGCAAACGCTTGATTTATTACCATCAAGATAGTTGAGTCCATGCTCTCAGCTCCCCTATTCGACTCCTCTGCAGGCTCAAACAAGCTATAAAAAGATTATGTCTTAATTCTTCCTCCTTAATTGAATACATTTTTTGCCTAAGAATGCTACCAGCAGGATTTCTCAAGGCCAAAAGAAAGCAAACCATCTAGCAAACACCAGGATCTCCAGAAGGACAGAAGTGGTCAAGGAGAGTGTCATCTGCAGATTTGTCAGTGTTAATCCAGGAAACCTTTTGGAGGTTTTCATCACAGCACAAACACACATTTTTTTGATCGTGCAACTGTTAACTTTCTTGTCCAAGTTTTTGATCAATGGAACAGGGCTCTACAGAGAAAACCATTTTGACGAAAGTATTTTCCTAGTTTGTTTTCCTTCTTGGAGCTGAAAACGTTGTGGTCAACATAACATAGGTTCAGCAAGACAGTAAACATATTCCTTAACCGGAAGAACCGCTAAGAAATAACAGGTTTCAGAAGGTCAGGGAACATACTTTGAGATAAATATAGGTCTTGTTAATACTACAGACTTGAAGTGATGCTTCTTCCATTGCCATTAACTACTGTATTTTCAATGACCATGGGCTAGCAATAACTTGTTCACCCTGTAAAAAACTTAGAAAATAAAAATGCTACTATTTTCTCTATTGGTGCATTTGAAAAAAGTTTGGTTATGCTTTTCAGGCCAGAATGACATACTACTTTGGCACAGAGAAATGTGAATGTATGTGTACATGGATATAGAGAAATACCTTTTCTAGTGGACACAGAAGTTAGGTGCAGACTGAAATAAATCAAGCTTAAATTAATACTTGCATAGCCCTCGGGAGTAACCAAGCAAGAGGTGCCAGAGAACAGCATAATTTAATTGTTGCACAAAGATCTTCTCCCAACCAGCTGGAGACAGGTGCACAACAAATCAGTATCTCTTCTTGCCTACCTTCTCAAAGATTGGTATTGAGAGGTATTGCGTAGACTCAACCAACAGACACACAGCTGCCGGCTTTACCTTCATCAAGCCACACAGTAAAAGATAACCAGTCACTGTGCCGCAAGTATTCCATCAGACATAGCCTGTACTAACCACACCGGGGGGTTTTGTGTGGGGTTTTTTTGTTGTTTTTTTCAGGGGTGGGCGGTTTGGGGTTTTTTCTTTGTTTGGTTTGGGGTTTTTTTGCTGCCTCCCCTCCCCCCTTTTTAAACACACATTCAGCTGTAAACGGGCAAACAATAAGAGACTACAAACTACAGTATCAGATATCTGAAGTATTGTACCTCAAACGTTTAATAGAGAACACTAAGCTAATTGCAGTCAAACTTTGGGACAGTGAACTTACTAACATCACTACTAAATTCCGCTTAGACCACCTACATCATGACTGAATTAACTGTTTGGGGGGGTTATTTAAACAATTTCACATAGTGAGGACACAGATGAAGGACACAAGAACAAGCTCTTGCCTCAAGATTACAAGCTGTGTTTGTTTTATGCAATTTAATCAAATTCAGCTATTTGGTAACATTCAGTTTAAATAAACTTCTTGTTCAAGAAGAGTCAACAGAACCTGTACGTTAAAAGCCCTGACATCACGCAATTGTGTTTTAAAGTAAAAATTATGGAAATCAATAGCCCACAAAAGTAACTAACCTTGAGCCAGTCGCTCGGAATGCACAAGCACACGGCTCTAGCTGGGAAAGATACACATAAGACAGGACATGATGAAAGCCAAGTCTGACTGTTGGTATCTGCCTTCATCTTGCAGAGGCTGATTTGAGAGTTCAATTTAATAACTAGAAACTTGGACAGACGAATTATCGTGAATTAAGGATAAGGCTCAAAACCCACTTATGTTACAAACATATTTCAATGGCACTCATTAAGCAAAATTCAAAATGAGGAGTAACAGCAGGCTGAGCTCCTTCTGAGCTAGATTTACAGTACACTCCCAACAGAAATTACAGTGATGGCAATTTTAAATTTGTATATCCTAACTGAAAAATCACAGTTGTAGGGAAGTAGGGGAATAAGGATGCAGAGCCAGACTAAAATGGTAAATAATATAAATCTGTAACTAGGATCCTGTTCAAACCATGCACTTAAAAGGGTGCTATGTACCTTTTTAAATAATTACAATAGATTAAGCTTCTAACCATACTTACAAGAAGTAAGATTTTTCAAGCAATTTAGGTGCCAATAAAGTAGATGTGTACTTCAGGCACTTTCAATAAAAAAAGAAGCAGCTAAAATTTAAAGGTCGAGTCTTCATAGTGTGCAGAAAGAATCAATATCTCAAAAGTGATAAAAAAAAATCCACATGCTGAATTTGCAATTCATTGAAACCCAGCCAATGGAAAGCATGAAATAGAGGGGTGTGTTTGACCTCCTACCTTTGGGAACTTATTTTGCAGAGTGAAGTCTTTTAATGCAAGACCTCCAACCTACTGAGCAAATATTTCAACTGCTGTGATGTTACGTAACAAAGTGGGTACCAGCAAAGCCCAAAGCAACAAAGAAAAAATAAAAATGCCCGAGGTGGTTTTAAGCCTATATGTATCCTGTATCTCCTGGCACCCATGGTATCCCCCTCAACTCTAGGCTCTTCCACTTTGATTAACAGCTCCAGGACCAAGCCCCAACTAGACCTTCATTCACAACTGCCCGGTCCAAATTGTGGGCACAAGCATGGTAAGCACTGTAAGATGGGAAATATCTTCCTACCCTCCACCCTGGCACACAGCCTGTCACCACAAGAAGCAAAATACCTTCACTTGAGCAGCTCTGGGTTGAGCCACGTGTAGTCCAAAAGGAGCCCTCAGAAATTTGGAGACAAAAGCTCTAACAAGCCTGACCACGTGCAGAGAGTCTTCAAAGGCTAAGTACCAAACTGTGCAGCTTAGGACATGTGGGATAGTCAGCCATAATTCACACAGCCTGTTTTTTGTTTTTAAATTTCAAGCATTTAGCATCTACTTAAAGATAAAGAGTGCGCAGTATACATCAAGGTCAATAAAGTGGAAGTCTCAAACCAAAAGCTCTGAAGCCTTTTGGGGCCTTTTCTGATTCAGATCAATGAACAATATGATAAATGGCTGTATTTGCTGCATCTTCAATTCCCTATATAAATAAAACATGCAGAATGCACAATGAGGAAACAATTTTTACCATATTCAACCAAGCTGGTAAAATCTGTTTTTCCAGCTTTCCCTTGCTCACACCAGTGTAAGTAAGTGGGGAGCGAGGGAGAAAGCTGCCTCCGCTGCCACAGGAGGAGCACAATAACCCCGCTTGCGAATCACTCGCTCCGCAGCTTGGCAGTATGAATAGACACTTCACACCCCAGCCTGTCCCTAAACTCTACTGCCTTCAGCTGATTTAACGCCAGTTTATTACCTGAGCTTGCTTACGCCACAATTAGGGGTCTGCAAACACCATAACCACCTACTCCAGTGAGGGCGATACAGCTCATGGCGCCCGCAGCAGCTGAACCCAAAGGAACCAAGGCACAGGGGACATAGTGAGGTCATGGCTCATTTGAGACAACTAAAGTAGAAGAGTTGGAAGATGCTGAAAGGGAGATGGGAGGAAAATGTTACAGCACAGTGCTGAATTGTGTATGCCTGACATATTGCACTGATTTCAAAGTCTCCA